CAGGGCTCACCCTCGGCCGAGCCCCGGCACGTAGCCGAGCGGCGCGGGCATGCCCAGGAACGGCTTCTTCTTCTTGTTCATGGCGACGACGAACGGGAAGGGAAGGCGCCGACTCGAGCCCGGGGCCGAGGACCGCAGGCGTCCGGCTCTCCGCCGCAGGAAGGAGTCGCGGGCACCGCGTCATCCGCGCCCCGGAAGCAGAGCGCGCGGTCCGCACGAAGCCCCGCCCACCTCGGGCCCCCGGGCGGAAGTTCCAGAAACGTGGTTTCCGGCCGNGTTTCCGGCCGCGGCGCAGGGGCGGGGGGCAGCGGGGCCGGCAAGGTTCCCGGGCGACGCCATCCGGAACCATCCCCGCGGGACCCGGAAACCGAGCTGGGCACCTGTTTCCTGCGTGTTCTCGACGCTTCCCTGGGGGACCTGCCTGGGCCCGCCAGCCGCGCGCTCTGCCCTGNAGCTCTCAGCGCTCAGACGCCGGCACCCATCGCGCCCCGAACATTCCAGTGAGGGCAGGAGCGCAGCCCAGAGCGCATTGAGGAAAGTAAATAAATGCAGCACCTATGTCGAGAACTAGTCAGTACGTGGTAGGTCGACCACCGCACGTGGGTGACTTCCGTGCAGGCCTCTACTGCGTGTGTTGGCGGTCGTGGGTACAGGTCATTCCCTGTGCTCAAGTTTCAGGCGGACATGCCTGGCCGTACTCTGCATGCAGCTGCGCGTCCCTGTGCACCTTCGCTCACTCTGCGGTGGGGCGTTCTCTGGCCCGGACACAAACCTGGGGAGAACAATTAGGCTCTTGGCAGAACAGGCAAAACTCAGGTCGGAAGCCTGGCCTCCCGCTGGACCAGGCAGCCCCCAGCCCACCCTGGCCCTTCTCGCTGGTGTCCTGGAGCAAGCATCCCTCCTGCGTGCTGCAGCCTCCTTGGAGTTTCTCCTCCCTGTCGCCAGGCAAGCCCCTTTCAATGCCAAGCCTTGGGCACTGAGTCAGATTCTGGGGCTACAGAGGGGAGGGAGCGTTCCCCGGCTGTCCACCTAGGAAACAAGTGCCCACTTGAGGGAGAGACCTATGGAAAAGTCTGGAAATTGTGTAAATTAAAGCAGTAAATCGACGTAGGAGAATGGAGAGAAGTGATTGGACGTGGTTGGTCTGGCCTTTGACCTGGGCCCCAGGGGCAAAAGGTCCGAGGAGCACCCGGTAGGGTGCCCCCCTTCTGGCACACACACGCACACACGGGCCGACTCTCCTTACTCCCGACCTCACAGGCGCCTGGGGACGCCCGGACCCCCGCAGGCGCAGTCACTGGCCCTTGGAGCCATGCCCAGGTGCGCTCGGCCGCCCCGGGCGCTGGCGGACACTCTTCGCGTGCGCAGACCCGCGCGCCGCCGACACACCTCCGAGCTTCCGGAGCGCGCCGGGCGCTCGGGGCT